CGTCCTAGAGGACTTCAATGCCCATGCAACGGCACGGGGATCTCCTAGGACGAACACGAGGGGACGGATGGTGGTGGAGTGGGCGACGGTCTCGCACCTCCGGCTGCCCAATGGGAAAGCGTCGAACACATGTGTTGGGCAGCGGGGGAAGTCCATAGTGGATCTCACTTTGACTAACCCCGCTGTCGCACGCAGAGTAACTGCATGGAAAGTGTCCCGAGAGGAGACGCTCTTGGACCACCTCTACATTAGAGTGTTGATGACAGAGAGGGCGGCAACAACTAGAGGGGTTGTTGCTCGGTGCAAATCTACTGAGCGCTTCGCCCACTATGACGAAGACTTATTGGCGGCTACAGCGATGGCCGTAACATGGATGGCGGAGGCCTCTTCGACGGAGACTGCTGGCGGGCAGGCTTCGGAGAGATATCGCTGTTGTTTCCAAGCTTGCTTCGCTAAGCGAACCGGTGCCGTGTACTGGTGGACGGGAGAACTGAACCGGTACACGAGGTCCCAGCGGCGGGGCCGAGTAGATGTATCTAAGATGGCAGCGCTGTATGATGACTACCGCGACACGCACAGATCTCTGCATCGATTCATCAAGGATGCAAAAGCGCGGGCGTGGGAGCAGCTCTTGGCTGCCCTGGAGTCGGATCCGTGGGAGCGCTCATACCGGATGGTGCAGGCGAAGCTCCGTCCATGGACGCCCCCGGTCACGGAGACAATGGAATTGTTGGACAGTTGTGACGGCTCTCTTCCCACCAGTGGGGGAAGAGACGAGGCTACCAATGTCCTGGCCCACAGGCATAGGAGCGGACTGGACCCCTGAAGATGACAAGTGAGGAACTGGCCAGGGTGGTCAAGAAAGTAGGGGGCTTAAGGCACCGCGACCGGATGGCATTACAGCCAGAGTTTGGAAAGGGGTGTACGGGGTGGCTGGCTTGGGGCGGGTATATCTGGGTCCTCTGGTCGCTTGCGGCTTTCCGTACGGCCCTGGCGGCAGTCATCT